ACTTTCCCAAACACATTTTTTTCATCACAGATTTTTACCATGGCTATTTCAGTTTTAAACTTTTAAAGAAAATCTTCCGCAGATCTATTTAGAATTATACTCAATGAAATGGACTAAACATCGATAAGTATCTCCGCACCTGTAAACTTCATAAGTGACTTCTGTGCTTGCACAATGCCCATTTTTATTACAGGTTGAATAGTCAAGTTGAAAAAATAATTCAAGATTTTAAAGCAATGAATTTAATTTGTGTAATAATTTATTCAAAACCTGTAAATGATTAGTATAGTGTGCTAACATTTTAATTTTTGTTCCGTGATTTTGAAAATATCAGTAGCAGGTTACTAGTATACAATGAACATGTTAGTAGTAATAAACCCGCATCGTATGTACGGAATCGAAAATTTAAGAACTTATATAACAATCTGCAGCTACATGTACTAAATATCAGAAATTTATCATGGAATTACACACTATGACCTAATTTAAACTGTTAAAATCATAACCGGCACCATAGTTGAACATTAATTGTCTTATAATCGGCACTAAGCGCCTTTGAGCAGGGAGGGATCTTTTTTGTGCCAGCACCTAAAGCGACACAGGGCCTTGTTTTATACGGTCTCATCGGAAGGACAGGTCCCCACGTCCCACAGTGGGATTCGAAACCACGACGTAGGGAGCTGATCCTTACCTCGCGACTATAGAGCAGACGCTCTAATCACTGCGCTATGCGGGCAACCTTGGGGGATATAAAAAGAAAAAAATGAAGAAAACGGTCAGTAAAAAAAAGAAGGGGTCGTTTTAAAATATTATTCTTACGAACTTCAGGGCAAGTATGAGAAACCATATTTATGAAAGCTTCCTGATATAAAAAAAGATTACCTTTTTTTTCAAATCATGTCTAGAGCTTTCCCTTGCAAAGTGATTGTGTATTTTGGGGGGGTAGTGTGGATGGGACGGGAATTAAACGATCTGTTTAACTGGTGATATGTCTGTCTGTCCCTGAAATTTTTTCCCAGAAGGCCAGGCTATAACATAAAGAAACCAGAAGCTTGTACTCGATACAAAGATTTCAAATGATCCTAGGATGTTTCATTGTATTTATTCAATGCAATATTACGGGAAATTCAAGATCACTGGAGAAAGAATTAATGTTTTGTTGCATTCATTTATATGTAATCCAGAATATCTGTAAGCCCATACTTGATACAGAGATTGCTTGTGATAAAAAGGCTTTTTACGATTTTGATTCAGAAAATAGCATTTTTTCATTTTGACTATATTTGTTTTAGACACTGTAAGTTCATACTTGATTCAAATTGCTTATAGTCCGCCGGTTTTCAGATGACTTTAAATAAGGTCATTTTAACAAATTCAGGGTCAATGACAGAAAAGTTGTAAAACACCTGTCAGGGTTATGAATTTCTAAAAGTTGTTTCAGATTGAGAGTTAGTCTTGACAAAGAGCCATGGTTATTCTGTTAAAATCAAGGTCACTGACAGAAGAAATCTGTTCTTTTCCAGGCTATGAATAAGTGAAAATCACTGGAAGCTCTTACTTTAAACATACTAGTAGATTACTTATGATTGGAGGTTGTGTCATGTCACCATGATCAAAGGTCTTTCTGGCAAATCCAGGTCACTGAGAGAGAAAAAATGTTTAAGCATAACTTTGTAATTAAGATTCACTGGAGGCTCGTGCTGAGAAGAAAGGTTGTTCACATAAGAAAGTGCAGTGATCTTGACCCAAGGTCTGTACTTCCTGTCCACAGCTCCGACGGAAGACCTACTCGTTGCTTTGCAACGAGCTCGGCTCTAGTTATATCAGTGTTTGTATATACAAGGCTTTCTTTTTGGCTAAACAAGAACACAAACTTTCTTCAAGTACCACAGTGAAGGCAAATATATTCCCAAACCGCAAACAATTGTATACAACAATAAAGCATTGCAAAACCATCTTTTTTTTCTTTTAGCCGAAGTATGATTAATTTTACACTATAGACTACTGAGAAATGTTTTCATGCTTCATGTTTAAGTCACCTACAGCTAAAACTACTGCATATTTCAGGTCACCTGAGTCACTCAGATGGTCTGTTGCTATCCAATTTTGCAGGGTGTGTCAACATTTGAACATTTTCAGCTTCCTCTCTGCAAACGCTCAACCAATTTCTACCAATTTTGGCATAAAGCATCTTTGGGTGAAAGGGGTGTAGTCGATGATTTTTAATGCTGCAAACCTTCAACTTTTCATACCAATTTAACAAAAATTCGCCTTTTCAAGGCGGTTTGCGTTTTCCTGGGGGGTCCAAGGTCATTTTTTTCTTGCTTTAGTATAAAAATTTAACATTTATGTAATATATAACAAATATATAATATAACTATTATGGACTTCAGTGAACTGTCAATATGTTGTTATAAGGATTCATGGCAGGCTCGCTCCCTATCACTTTCTGTGTCTGAGGTCAATATCAATTGCCATTGTGTCCTTATAACCACATATCAACTTACACTGGAGTCCATAATTGTACTGTATAATATTCAATACACCAGAGAGTGAGATGTTTTACATCTGTCTATTGTGATGTCATAATCAAAAACTTTCACTCTCGTTGATGCCTCAAACACCAGTGCATTAGCCACTCAAAATGTGCTTTACACAACAGTTGCATTAGAGATCACATTTAAGTGGATATGAATAGAAAAAATGACAATATAACACGCAGATTTCTGGAAGTGTTTTTCTTCTACATGTATGTGTACACAATGGTTTATTAAACTTATATTTTAAAATGATAAGTGAATTTAAATCAATTAAATGATCATTCAGAAAATATTTTAGAGAAGAAATATTAAAATTATAAATTCTACCAGATGTATTCAACAAATTCCTATCATTTCTTTCACTTAATTAGTTATCTTAATGACGAGTTCCCTGTATTCTCATTTTTGTGGCTGTGTGTATATCGTTAAATGGTTCTTGTCTGAGAGATTGTTGGTATGAGTATAGAGCAGCCTGGGGATTCCCTGTCACCTGTTGACAGATTCCCAGAATCTGCCATGATATGTCTCTGAAATGTAAAGGTGTATACGGTCCTTGATCATAGTGAACTAGGGTCTGAAGATCATCTAGAGCTGTTTGTGCTCTCATTGTGTCTACATGTCTGTAGCACAGGATTTCTAGCATGTGTAACAGTACAAGGGGTGGGACATGTAATGAAGTATAACCCTTAATTTTCTGTTGAGCAGATTGTTGTTCTGGTAATAACTCATTGATGTAATGGGTTTTATTGTAAAGCAGGATAATCCATGCTACAGCCTGTCTCATCTTTGTAGACCAGGACTGTCCCCCTACAGCCTCAGTATACATCGCTCTATCTACATAGTCATACATCACATATGGCTGTGCTAACTTGTTCTTGATCATCTCTATAATAGATAAAGCCTCTGTATATCTAAGCGTCTTGTAATAATACATAGCTATGTATATCATGTCAATTATACAACCAAACTTGGCTGTTAATTTCAGCATGTGACAGGAGATTTTGTCAGCTCTATATCTCATTTTGTTTTCCTTTGTGTAAGCTACCATGTGTAATATAAAAGCTGTGTTCTGAAGGACAGTCGCTGTAAGTCTCTGTAGCATCACGACTTGATACTGAGTCAGGAGGGGTAAATCTATCATCTGTTCTATTGTATGTATATATCTAATACAGGTTTCTAGGTTTGGTGTGGGAAGTGTGTCGTGTCTGCGTATCTCTTGAAACAGCTCAACATCAAATTCAACCTCAGAAATCAGAGTATGTTCATCTGTACAGATGGAGAGATGGGGGTCGTGAAGAACATTTAGAATACAAGACCTGATGGAGGGACTCTGAAGCAGGAATTCTAAACCCTTCTCATACAACCCATACAGTCTTATAAATAGCTGATGCTGTGCTTCACCTTGGACTTTACTCAGAAACATGTTATTTTGGGGAATGAAAAGGTTAGGACAGGCTCCCTCATACACCCACTTAAGGACTAGTTTGAAACAAATCCAGAAACACTCCAGGAGATTTTGTGGACACCAACGTTGTAATGTATTCTGTTGAATCACCCAGAAAACAGCTGTCTTCATGTGATAAGAACATAGCAATTTATCATCATAGTCAAATCATTATAGTCAACAAGACTCAAAAAAAAGAAATTTCTCCGCGACAGTGTTCCACAGTCTAGGAACAACTGGTCAGAGGTCAGAGTTAACAAAACACGTAAACCCCGCTCGAGACGCTTCAAACGCATTAAGACAGTCGCGAGGGACGGACCCATACAAACTCCTGACGTCTGCCCAGTGCTCAATACATCTAGTGCTCCTCTCTCCGAATCGGAGACCTCACTTCTCTCACAGGGGCTAAATTTCTGCCCCACGCCACATGAGGTCGACGATAAGCAAGTCAGAGAGGACACCCGAGCATTCTTCCGGAGACTTCGTTTGTAGGAGCACTTCTCTAGAAAAGACTTCGAAGCAAATTCATACGACTCTTCCAAGCCAGATTTTCACGACCTAGAGGAACACAAACTCTATAAGCCCAAGAGTGCCTGGGAACCTACACCGGGCAAGTGAGGCGCGCTTGAGTCGTATATTGACGCCGTTGAGTTAGACATAGAGAAGCTCCTTTCAATGCCAGACAAAACTCCCGACAATTTGAGTAAGGAGGAGAGATCTGCCTTACAATCATTAAAAAATTGGGATGACATTGTAATTAAGAAAGCAGACAAAGGCTCTACAGTTGTAGTAATGGATAAAGAGACTTACTTGGCGGAGGCCCAAAGACAACTCTCAGACGAACGTTTCTATAAGAAACTGGACTCTGACCCTACTAAAGAATTCTCCGACGCCATTACCAAAACTCTTGACGATATGTTTGAGAAAAATGAGATTGGTACGTCTATGAGACCTTAAATCCTATTGACTGTAGTCCAGGACAATTCTATCTGCTTCCTAAAATACACAAAGAAGGCATGCCTGGTCGCCCCATAGTCAGCGCAATTGGACACCCCACGGAGAAAATTTCTGAATTCATTGATTTACATCTCCGTCCACACATAGAAAGTTTGCCATCCTATCTTAAGGACACCACGGACTACATTAACAAGACGCCCTCTACTGGCCTCCCAGATCATACCCTCCTCGTGACTATGGACGTCACATCTTTGTACACCAATATTCCGCACGATGAGGGTATCGAAGCCTGTAGAGAAGTCTGGGATAGTAGATCCATACTAGTTCCTTCTACCGAGTCCTTTGCTAAGCTCCTTGAACATGTTCTCAAGTTCAACAACTTCATGTTTAATGGAGAACATTACCTGCAAGTTAATGGCACTGCTATGTGTACGAAAATGGCACCGTCTTATGCCAATGTCTTCATGGGCAGACTGGAACGCAACTTGTTACTTCAAGCACCATTTAGGCCCCATAGCTGGTTGCGTTTCATTGACGATATAGAGATGAAGTGGGTGGAATGTCGCGAGAGCCTCGAGGCATTCTTTACGTTTGCCAACACCTTTCATCAGTCAATCAAATTTACAGTAGACGTATCTAATTCGAAAAACATATTCCTAGATACTACATCTACCCTGATTGACGGTGAAATCGAATTCAGTCTCCACACCAAACCCACAGACTCCCACCTATATCTTATGCCCAATAGCTGTCATCCCCCACACACTTTTAAGGGAGTGCCTAAGGGTCTAGCCACCAGAATTCGGCGCATCTGTTCGTCCCCTGCCTTTATCAGGAGCAAAGTGGTCTTCTTAAGTCCCACTTATGCAAAAGAGGCTACAATGCCTGCACCGTACATACAGCTATTGATGAGATGGCGGGACATGACAGGCAAAACCTATTACGCTACAAGGAGAAAGAAAATAGCGGCAGGTTCCCTCTGGTAACCACATACCATCCCGTCCTTAAGAACCTTAGCGGTATCCTTCAAAAGAACCTACCGATTCTCCATTCAAACAAACGAATGGCAGAGGTCTTTAAGGAACCCCCACTGGCTGCATACGGACGCCCAAGGAACCTAAAGGACATGGTAGTAAGAACCAGACTGGACAACCCATTACCTAACGGGGGCTTTAAAACTTGCCCTGACAGAAGATGTCTTCTTTGTAAGCACAGCACCGACATGGACAGTTTTAACAGCCCTGTTACAGGCCGCAGCTACAAAATACTAGGGAATTTGTCCTGTCATACTGACAACTGCATTTATCTCATCAGTTGCAAAGTTTGCTCCAAACAGTATATTGGTGAAACAGGAGATCTCTGCAGAAGAGTCAATAACCACCGTTCGACCATTAGGACCAAAAAATCAATGAACCTGTTGGGGAACATTTCAACCTTGAGGGTCACAAATGGGAAGACATGACAGTAGTGGTGATTGACCATTACTCAAGATGGACAGACGCTCAGAGAAAAAGCAAGGAAAAGTTCTGGATGCACAGACTGAAGTCATTCCGCCCTAATGGCATTAACAAACTGAATGACTTCACCAGAATGAACGTAAACTAGACTCAATTCCTGAAGATACTAAACAGGACTATTCTCTCAATTTAGTGCTAACTCTACAGTTAATTTGCGTCAGCAACTCTCGAACAACCCACATAACTATGAATTGCTTACCCCTTTGTTAATTTATTTTTTCCCGATAATATGTCCTAAATAATTTAGAAATTTATAATAGATCATAATTCATATTTTAGAATATCCCTGCTGTAATATTTTTCTTTGATTATTCTTTATCATGTATAGTTATACCTTATGAGAGAATGAAACAATGTACGATTTACTAATTGTCGTAATTAATTAGCATAATTAATTCGTTCAATTATGTAAATCGCACTTCACCCGAGTATACCCGATAGACCGGACGTATTTCATAGTGGTCCAGATTTATTTCTTAAATTTCTTTAAAGTCCTATAATATTTCAAAATTTATAATAGATCATAATTCATATTTTAAAATATCCCTGCTGTATTATTTTTCTCTGTGTATTCTTTATCAAGTATAGTTACGCCATATTGAGAGAACGAAACAATGTACGATTTACTGATTGTCGTAATTAATTAGCATAATTAATTCGTTCAATTATGTAAATCGCACTTCACCCGAGCATACCCGATAGACCGGACGTATTTCTTAGCGGTCAGGATTTCTTTCTTAACTATAGTGTTCTTAAAAATTTCCAATTCAACATATAGCTAAGTTTGTAAATATATAGTGTTTAGTAGTTTAGTAGTAGTGCTAGTTGCTTTTGTTTTTCTTTTTCCTTTCTTCTTATGACCTTTTAACTTTTTTCTTTGTCCTGAGGAAGGGACAGGGCGTCCCGAAAAGTTGACAATTTTTATTGTTCGTGTCGTTGGTCATTTTAGTGCTTTATATAAATTTTCATCCGTGACCTTGTATCTACTTGGTAGATCCGACATTTAGGATATACAGTGTTGTTGGTTTTTTAGTGCTATATATATATATATATATATATATATATATATATATATATATATATATATATATATATATATATATATATATATATATATATATAGGTAAAATTAAAATAAAAAAGGCAAAACAGATTAAAACGTTAGCGCTTTCATTACATCTTCAGACGTTTTACAAATGCATTCTTTATCCTGACTGCAATGTCTTACAAAACTATTAATACTTTAAAAATCATTATCTATAATTGAATCTGACAGCAAGCAATTAAATGCTTGCAATTTGTTCACACCTTTGAAACCAAATCCGACATGTATTTATACTCTTAGCCGGAGAACATCGAAAGGTTACACTCTGTGTGAAAGTTTTATCAGAAATCAAATTAAATCAAACTATTAAGACTGGGATTAAATTTTTGAATGAAATATTTCTCTTTTTCTCTTCTTTCTGTTATAATTTCTTGAAAAAGTTTATAAAAAGGGAATACTTTAAATTGTCCTTGTCCGCATCTATCAATGTGTTCGCGGAGTTTGATCTTACGGTACTCAGGAACTTGAATATGCTGTTTATGCACGCGAATTCTGTTCTGTTTTAAGAGAAGGAACATCATTTAATTTCAAAGGAAAAATTTCCTTATTAATTCAGACATGACATGTGAGTCCAAAAATTTAATATATTTTATTACTTGCGGAGGATGCAACCAATTCTACATCGGTGAAACGGGGACCACATTGAGAGCCAGAATGTTTGTTATGAGTTTATCGGAAAAAAACTAATTTTCCGTACTGAGAGCATTGTGGTAACGAACCCGACGTACAATTTTTATTCAACTTAATTGTGTTCAATAAGAGAGAAAACTTACGAATAAAATAGGCCCTATTGTTTAAATACAATTAATTACAGCTATAAAGTTCTGTGCTTTAATAAAGACACTTCAGTTTTTTTTTTCTCTCTAAAAAAAAGTCTTTCTCCAATGCCAACTTCTTTTAGAACCAATTTTTTGGTATTCAACACTACATTTCCCTTATATGAATTTCCTGTAGTATTAGGGGGGGGGGGGGGGGCAACCAGCCTTTCACTGAACATTCCCAATAGTAAAAGTATTGGTGGGAAAAAAGTAGGGGGGCAGCCTTTTTACGTATCGATAAGAGTACATATATACTTATAAACCAAGACCCAAGTACCTGTGAATTCATACCCCTTCCCCAAATCCCCAAAATCAATTTATTCGTATATGTCTATCCGTTGCTTTTATCCTTCATGAAAATGAAATAAGAACATTTGAAGTGCAATATCCATAACATTGTATGAAGTTTTGAAGAAATAAACGTCAATTAAGGCATTTTTTTTAATTTTTCAAGTCTTCACAAAAAGTGGGTGGGAAAGGTGACATACGTTTCTTTCATGCTGACTTTTGAACAAAGTATTTCTTCCCTCTATAAGTCTGTAGTCTGTCAGAAAAATCTACAACTTTCATCTACAATATATTCAGTTTTCTGTTGTAAATGGTAAAGTATGTATAAATTCAATTTCCCGCGCTTGCGCGGGTAATTATCTAGTGTATACACAAATTGATTTTCATATTTTGCATGTTATATGTTATATACGCTGTACAAATAAAGCTGCTGCGTGTCGTTGCTATGTACAAATGGTGTGTTTGTTGATTATTGTACTTTCATTGAAAGTAATGAATTGATTTAGAGTAGAATTATAAATCGCATTTCATCAAAGTGACCATTCGGTGCTCCTTGTATAGTTCGTGCCCAGCACGAGCGTCATCATCCGAGAATTGCCGATTTATAAATAGCTGCTTACCATGGCACGCCTAATTCACAAAAATGAGCTACATGTATACATAGTTTCACAGTCGATAAACTAGGTTTATCGGTTGTAAACTATAGTTTACGGAGTATAAACTATAGTTAACAACTTTAATCTATATTTTACATCTGTAAACCATAGTAAACGCGATAATTTATGTTTCACAACCGTAAACTATACTTAACATCAAAAACAATCATAGATTATCTGATAAATACAGTTTCACGATTTGTAAACTATAGTTTACAAACCGTTAACTATAGTTAACGATCTGATAAATATAGTTTCGCGATTTGTGAAACTATGATTAACAACTCTTAACTATAGTTTACGATTGTAAACTATAGTTTACAAACGTGAATCTATGTTTATCAACAAAATCTATTGTTAACGCTGATTACAGACAGATAAACTTAGATTAGCATTCGTAAACTCGTCAAATATTGTTTTACAGATGAAAACAATACTTTACGAATCGTTAACTATAGTTTAAGGTTTGTAAACTATAGTTAACAGTCGATAAACCTAGTTTATCAATTGTGAAACTAGGTTTAGCTCATTTTTAGCTCACCTGAGCCGAAAGCTCAAGTGAGCTTTTCTGATCACATTTTGTCTGTAGTCCGTCTGTCTGTCCGTCCGCCTGTCTGTCTGTAAACTTTACACATTTTCGACTTCTTCTCAAGAACCGCTGGGCCAATTTCAACCAAACTTGCCACAAAGCATCCTTGGGTGAAGGGGATTCAAGTTTGTTCAAATGTAGGGCCACGCCCTCGTTCAATGGGTGATAATCGGGAATTAATAAAGATTTGGTGGCATGTTTTAGAAATCTTCTTCTCAAGAACCATTGTGCCAGGAAAGCTGAAACTTATATAGAAGCATCCTCAGGTAATGTAGATTTAAGTTTGTTCAAATCATGACCCCCGAGGGTAGGACGGAGCCAAAATGGCCGACCAAAGTTTTACATAGAAATATAAAAGAAAATTCTTTAAAAATCTTCTTCTCAAGAACCACTGTGCCAGGAAAGCTGAAACTTATATGGAAGCATCCACAGGTAGTGTAGATTCAAGTTTATTCAAATCATGACCCCCGGAGGTAGGGCGGGGCCACAATGGCCGACCAAAGTTTTACATAGAAATATATATGAAAATTCTTTAAAAACCTTCTTCTCAAGAACCACTGTGCCAGGAGAGCTGAAACTTATACAAAACCATCCTCAGGTAGTGTAGATTCAAGTTTGTTCAAATCTTGACCCCTAGGGGTAGGTGGGGCCACAATGGCCGACCAAAGTTTAACATAGAAATGTATAGGCTAGGAAAATTCTTTTAAAATCTTCTTTTCAAGAACCAACGTGCCAGAATAGCTGAATATTATATGGAAGCATCCTCAGGTAGTGTAGATTCAAATTTGTTCAAATTATGACCCCAGGGGGTAGGGCGGGGCCACAATGGCTGACCAAAATTTTACATAAAAATATATAGGAAAATTCTTTAAAATTTCTCTTCTCAAGAACCACAATGCCAGGAAAGCTGAAACTTATACGGAAGCATCCTCAGGTAATGTAGATTCAAATTTATTCAAATCATGACCCCCGGTGATAGGGCGGGGCCACAATGGCTCACCAAGGTTTTACATAGAAATATATAGGAAAATTCTTTAAAAATTTTCTTTTCAAAAACCACTGTGCCAGGAAAGCTGAAATTTATATGGAAGCATCCTCAGGTAGTGTAGATTCAAGTTTGTTCAAATCATGACCCCCAGAAGTGGGGCGGGGCCAAAATGGCCGATCAGAGTTTTATATAGAAATATGTAAGAAAACTCTTTATAAATCTTCTTCTGAAGAATATAGTAAAGCCATAATTGATCATATTTATATGGAAGCATCATCAGGTTCTGAGATTCATGTTTGTTCAGATCATGACCCCGTGGGTTGGGTGGGGCCACAACAGAGAATCCATGTTTTACATAGAAATATATAGGAACAAACTTTAAAAATCCTCTTTTCAAGATTGATTGATTGATTGTATATTGTTTAACGTCCCTCTTGAGAATTTTTCACTCATATGGAGACGTCACCGATGCCGGTGAAGGGCTTCAAATTTAGACCTATACTCGGTACTCAGGGCCATTGAGCAGTTAGGGTTCTTTATCGTGCCAACGCCTTACGTGACACGGGACCTACGTTTTTTAAGGTCATATCCGAAAGACCCGTGACTTTCACTTCTAGTGCCGAGCGCTTGGCGAAGAAACAGTCACTACCTTTGTTTACGTCTTAGGTATGACGCGGCGCCGCGATCGAGAATCGAACCCGGACCTCCCGATCACGAAGCGAACGCTCTACCACTAGGCTACCGTCACCGGTCTCTTTTCAAGAACCACCAGGCCAAAAAAATAACTGAAACTTATGGGGAAACATCCTGGGGTAGTGTAGATTCTAGATTGTTGAAATCATGATTCCCCGGAGGGGGTGGGGTCACACTAGGTATTACAATGGAGAAATTGGGTAAAGAACGGCATCACCAATGCTATTCAGGTGAGCGATGTGGCCCATGGGCCTCTTGTTGTGAATTTGGCGTGCCATAGCTTGCACGGGGCTTTGCATCCGGAAATCAAACTTAATGTGTCATCTCTCGTGAGAGATGACAACAAATGAAAGTAGATTTAGTGGTTTTTCCGTATTATTTGTATCAAGAACCTGGTAATTTTCATATAAATGTATCCCTTTAGAATATCACCGATGTAATTTAATGTGCATAAAACATCTTCAATGTCTGTTTCAGTAAATAATGTGATACATTATCTTTGTATACAATTAGCATACTCTATTTTGTTGTTACTGTAACTATATTTTAAGCTGAGAACAGTGAATCATGCGGATACATTAAAACATGTTTGAGATCTACATTAATAGCAATAGAATTTAAATGTTTAATAGCGTAAATTATTAATAAGCTGAATTTAAAATCATCAAAATTAAGTAAGTATTGAACGATTTGAAATGGCATTTATAAAATAATGGTGTATAATATTATATCAAGACATATCAATTCCGTGTTTTTCATAATTAGGAATACAGCCCTACAACATATGTCCGAGTCAGTGTTCGTGGAACTGTGTGATAAACTTGGGACGTCACAACAGGTGGCCATTAGGAGAGATGTGGTGGACATCAGTGAGGTGGTGGAAAATCAAGTGACAACAATTGACCAGGTCAGTAGGATGATAAGTGGAAGTCAAAGAGAAGGATTCAGACTAGAAGGATCAGACATAGACGTTATGTACTGGCCTAATAATCACCGTGTGATCTGGAACTTATCTCAGTCTCAGTATTACAACACACACAGACAAACAATGATCTTCTGTGACTGTTCTGATAGTCCACCGGGATTTACTTTATTATATTTATTGTCACCAGGAAGGTACAAAGAAATCCAGAGAGCTTGTTTTAGAATGAACAACATTAATTATATCTCCAGCTCAGAATACACAAAATCTCTGTGTTCTGGAGGTTTACCTGACGCCATTCTACATGGACCCTGTGTCAGTGGGCTTTATTTTGGGCGAAAAGAATATGATCATGCCCACTGTTTTGCTTGTGACTTTTGGCCTCCGTCTGCCTCCTCATGGACAGACAGATGTCAATCATGGCCCCAGCCTGGTATTGTTGATAATATTATGCAAAATGGATGTCACCTTGTAGCAATAGGACATACACAAGGGCATCATGTGCACAATGAATGGAGAATTTCTTTCTCTCTTGCAGAACACAAACTTGTGTGTGCTATGAGCCACTGTCAATTCTTAACTTATGGATTGCTTAAGTTATTCTTAGTAGAAATATTAAACCATGGATTAAGTAATGATGATAAATTGCTATGTTCTTATCACATGAAGACAGCTGTTTTCTGGGTGATTCAACAGAATACATTACAACGTTGGTGTCCACAAAATCTCCTGGAGTGTTTCTGGATTTGTTTCAAACTAGTCCTTAAGTGGGTGTATGAGGGAGCCTGTCCTAACCTTTTCATTCCCCAAAATAACATGTTTCTGAGTAAAGTCCATGGTGAAGCACAGCATCAGCTATTTATAAGACTGTATGGGTTGTATGAGAAGGGTTTAGAATTCCTGCTTCAGAGTCCCTCCATCAGGTCTTGTATTCTAAATGTTCTTCACGACCCGCATCTCTCTATCTGTACAGATGAACATACTCTGATTTCTGAGGTTGAATTTGATGTTGAGCTGTTTCAAGAGATACGCAGACACGACACACTTCCCACACCAAACCTAGAAACCTGTATTAGATATATACATACAATAGAACAGATGATAGATTTACCCCTCCTGACTCAGTATCAAGTCGTGATGCTACAGAGACTTACAGCGACTGTCCTTCAGAACACAGCTTTTATATTACACATGGTAGCTTACACAAAGGAAAACAAAATGAGATATAGAGCTGACAAAATCTCCTGTCACATGCTGAAATTAACAGCCAAGTTTGGTTGTATAATTGACATGATGTACATAGCTATGTATTATTACAAGACGCTTAGATATACAGAGGCTTTATCTATTATAGAGATGATCAAGAACAAGTTAGCACAGCCATATGTGATGTATGACTATGTAGATAGAGCGATGTATACTGAGGCTGTAGGGGGACAGTCCTGGTCTACAAAGATGAGACAGGCTGTAGCATGGATTATCCTGCTTTACAATAAAACCCATTACATCAATGAGTTATTACCAGAACAACAGTCTGCTCTACAGAAAATTAAGGGTTATACTTCATTACATGTCCCACCCCTTGTACTGTTACACATGCTAGAAATCCTGTGCTACAGACATGTAGACACAATGAGAGCACAAACAGCTCTAGATGATCTTCAGACCCTAGTTCACTATGATCAAGGACCGTATACACCTTTACATTTCAGAGACATATCATGGCAGATTCTGAGAATCTGTCAACAGGTGACAGGGAATCCCCAGGCTGCTCTATACTCATACCAACAATCTCTCAGACAAGAACCATTTAACGATATACACACAGCCACAAAAATGAGAATACGGGGAACTTGTCATTAAGATAACTAATTAAGTGAAAGAAATGATAGGAATTTGTTGAATACATCTGGTAGAATTTATAATTTTAATATTTCTTCTCTAAAATATTTTCTGAATGATCATTTAATTGATTTAAATTCACTTATCATTTTAAAATATAAGTTTAATAAACCATTGTGTACACATACATGTAGAAGAAAAACACTTCCAGAAATCTGCGTGTTATATTGTCATTTTTTCTATTCATATCCACTTAAATGTGATCTCTAATGCAACTGTTGTGTAAAGCACATTTTGAGTGGCTAATGCACTGGTGTTTGAGGCATCAACGAGAGTGAAAGTTTTTGATTATGACATCACAATAGACAGATGTAAAACATCTCACTCTCTGGTGTATTGAATATTATACAGTACAATTATGGACTCCAGTGTAAGTTGATATGTGGTTATAAGGACACAATGGCAATTGATATTGACCTCAGACACAGAAAGTGATAGGGAGCGAGCCTGCCATGAATCCTTATAACAACATATTGACAGTTCACTGAAGTCCATAATAGTTATATTATATATTTGTTATATATTACATAAATGTTAAATTTTTATACTAAAGCAAGAAAAAAATGACCTTGGACCCCCCAGGAAAACGCAAACCGCCTTGAAAAAGCGAATTTTTGTTAAATTGGTATGAAAAGTTGAAGGTTTGCAGCATTAAAAATCATCGACTACACCCTTTTCACCCAAAGATGCTTTATGCCAAAATTGGTTGAAATTGGTTGAGCGTTTGCAGAGAAGAAGCTGAAAATGTTCAAATGTTGACACACCCTGCAAAATTGGATAGCAACAGACCATCTGAGTGACTCAGGTGACCTGAAATATGCAGTAGTTTTAGCTGTAGGTGACTTAAACATGAAGCATGAAAACATTTCTCAGTAGTCTATAGTGTAAAATTAATCATACTTCGGCTAAAAGAAAAAAAAATGGTTTTACAATGCTTTATTGTTGTATACAAATGGTTGCGGTTTGGGAATATTTGCCTTCACTGTGGTACTTGAAGAAAGTTTGTGTTCTTGTTTAGCCAAGAAGAAAACCTTGTATATACAAACACTGATATAACTAGAGCCGAGCTCGTTGCAAAGCAACGAATAGGTCTTCCGTTGGAGCTGTGGACAGGAAGTACCGACCTTGGGTCAAGATCACTGCACTTTCTTATGTGAACAACATCTTCTCAGCACGAGCCTCCAGTGAATCTTAATTACAAAGTTATGCTTAAACATTTTTTCTGTCAGTGACCTTGATTTGCCAGAAAGACCTTTGATCATGGTGACATGACACAACCTCCAATCATAAGTAATCTATGTTTCAAGTAAGAGCCTCCAATGATTTTCACTTACTTATTCATAGCCTGGAAAAGAACAGATTTCTTCTGTCAGTGACCTTGATTTAAACAGAATAGCCTTGGCTCTTTGTCAAGATAAACCCTCAATCTGAAACAACTTTTAGAAATTCATAACCCTGACAGGTGTTTTACAACTTTTCTGTCATTGGCCCTGAATTTGTTAAAATAACCTTATTTTAAGTCATCTGAAAACCGGCCGACTATAAGTAATTTGTATCAAGTATGAACTTACAGTGTCTTAAACAAATATAGTCAGAATGAAAAAATACTATTTTCTGAGTCAAAATCGTAAAAAACCCTTTTTATCAGAAGCAATCTCTGTATCAAGTATGGGCTTACAGATATTCTGGATAACATATAAATGAATGCAACAAAACATTAATTCTTTCTCCAGTGATCTTGAATTTCCCGTAATATTGCATTGAAAAATACAATGAAACATCCTAGGATCATTTGAAATCTTTGTATCGAGTACAAGCTTCTGGTTTCTTTATGTTATAGCCTGGCCTTCTGGGAAAAACTTTCAGGGACAGACAGACATATGGACAGTTAAACAGACCGTTTAATTCCCGTCCCATCCACACTACCTCCCAAAATACACAATCGCTTTGCAAGGGAAAGCTCTAGTCATGATTTGAAGAAAAGTAATCTTTTTTATATCAGGAAAGTTTCATAAATATGGTTTCTCATACTTGTCCTGAAGTTCGTAAGAATAATATTTTAAAACGACCCCTTCTTTTTTTAAATGACCGTTTTCTTTATTGTTTTCATTTTATATCCCCACAGGTCGCCCGCATAGCGCAGTGATTAGAGCGTCTGCTCTATAGTCGCGAGGTAAGGATCAGCTCCCTACGTCATGGTTTCGAATGTTATCCCACTGTGGGACGTAATGGACCTGTTCCTCCGATGAGACCGTATAAAACAAGGTCCTGTGTCGCTTTAGGTGCTGGCACAAAAAAGATCCCTCCCTGCTCAAAGGCGCTTAATGCTGATTATAAGACAATTAATGTTCAACTATGGTGCCGGTTATGATTTTAACAGTTTCAATTAGGTCATAAAAGTGTGTAATTACATGATAAATTTCTGATATTTAGTACACGTAGCTGTTGATTGTTATATAAGTTCTTAAATTTTCGATTCGGTACATACGATGCGGGTTTATTACTACTAACATGTTCATTGTATAACCTGCTACTGATATTTTCAAAATCACGGAACAAAAATTAAAATGTTAGCACACTATACTAATCATTTACAGGTTTTGAATAAATTATTACACAAATTAAATTCATTGCTTTAAGATCTTGAATTATTTTTTCAACTTGACTATTCAACCTGTAATAAAATTGGACATTGTGCAAGCACAGAAGTCACTTATGAAGTTTGCAGTTGCGGAGATACTTATCGATGTTCAGTCCATTTCATTGAGTATAATTCTAAATGGATCTGCGGAAGATTTTCTTAAAAAGTTTAAAACTGAAATAGCCATGGTAAAAATCTGTGATGAAAAAAATGTGTTTGGGAAAATTTGTGTTGAAAACAGATTTATTTACATTGTGTTAAACGCACAAATTATGCTTGTGCATTTAAATCAATATTGGTTGAAGTTAAGTAACCGCAGATTGCCAGTCCTTACGCTATGAATCGTCAAAAAGTAAAATTTCACATTGAGCTAACCAACTATTAAAATTGAAGATTGATTAATGTTCATATAAAATAAATACCCCAAGCGTTTTGTTATAAAGTCAAACCTAAAATATTTTAAAATACATGTATTTTTGAAAGATTCCATTTACCTACAGAAAAAAATGTTTTCCGTAAGTTTGTAAAATTAGATTTAAGATTCGACCACGCTGTGTAAATTAATGTCAACAAGCGATGGAAGGAATAAATGTTCGCGTAATTGTAAAAAAAAAAAAAACACAAAGCCTAGGTAGCTGATCAAATTTAAAACGAAGATAAGCCAACATATTAATCTCAAATATCCGGCAATAATTATTTTCGATTAATTGTAAAATGGTTTTAATACACCAATTATTTTGCCTATGACTGCGGGGTCAATGGTTCGCCACAGTGTGTCGCTTTAGATTTTCTTGGACACGTGTAATCGTAAGATTACGCAATGGTATAAATACGCTTAGAATCTGGGTTCCAGGTGAATGTGTGAATCGCGTGGTAAATAATGAAATAATAAATAAATGAAAATGAAGCCATTGAATACTCTGTTTAAAACCAAATTTAAAAAAAAGAGATATGATACAGTGTTGTAAAATATTTATTACTTACGACAAGTTTACTTCAATTCTACGCATAAAGACTAAAGAGTTTCCTTCAATAAAGCAAGATGAGAACTGCCTAGCTTTCTTTCCTATAATACGTAAGACTCGAACAAAATAATAATTTCATAGGACAGAGATAGTATTCAGGAACAATTTAATATATAAAAAAATGAATTTAACCATTCTGTGTTTTTATTTGTATATAACTGTGTGTCGCTGGATTACCCGCCGATTGATTCCCGGTGACCGACTTTGCCCCGCGTTATCGAGGAAGGCGCGTTATATAATTAAAAACAAACATGAATTGATTGTGATGTCGTAATCGTTTGATGATATTTTTTCATACAAATTGTTAGTCCATTATTTATTCACTGAATTGACCACGGATTTTTCCGTTATTTCCTGATTATGACAACGAGCATACGGCGGGTGTGACCGGTCGGCAGGGGATGCTCACTCCTCCATGGCACCTGATCCCACCTCTGATGTTTCGGAGGTCCAGGTTTGCTCTGCTCTTATTTTGTATATTTGTTTAATGGACGTTGAGATTGAATACTGTTCGTTATTTCCATATCCTTCCTTTTATCAATATATGTCAATATTTATCCATATTAGTATTTCCCCTTACCCAGAATTGCATTTTCCCCACTGGGTGCGTTATTAATTTTCTCTCAAATTTGTCTTGAATGTCATTTTCATCCTTAAACATCTTTTTATCCTAGATACTGAAAGTACAAGTTCCATACCTCCATCTAAGATAAGGACGAAGTCTGTGAGGAAAACGATTAATCTAACAAGATTTCACATATCATTCAAGTTATTTTCAAATTACTGTAGATCACTTAATTTTCGAGACACCTTATTTTCGCGAGATATTCATTACATGTAACAATTTATTAGCATGACAACATTTTTTCAGAATTGTGGTTATTGTTCTTTAAAACTGTAAAGAGTACTTATATATGTACGAGAGAGAAATTTTCGCGATCACACTGTCTCGCTTAGTTGCGCGGAAATAAATTTCTAATAAAAAGTGATTTACAGTAGAACAAACCATACCGCTTTGACTCTGTAGGATCACGAAATCCACTTATACATTTGCTTCTCACATACCTCAATCAAGAAGTATAATTTGAAGAGTGGGAAAGGTTACACACATCGAATTCAGGTTCGAATCCCACTGCAAGACTTGGAGACCGGTTCTTCTTATGAAACCTTTTAAACGAAGGTCCCTGGTCGCAGTAAGTTAAGTACTGGCTCGAAAAAGACCCCTCTCTGCTCAATGGGTGCCGAATATAAGTAAAAAAAAGCAGCTCTCCACCGGCAAGTGGTGGCATCTCCATATGAGTCAACA